GCTACACACCACAGCCTCCTGAGTCTACCACTGTAAGGTGGCGATTACCTGTGGAGGCACTGTGAGAACCGTGTCCCAGAAGCCCTTGGACTGGTTGAATGACTTTGCTAACGAGGCTTGCAGGGGTCTGAGCTTCATTCGAGCATGGCGTACCGTATATGTGCATGCCACCATGTGGCCCAGCAGTCTTGAGCAGACTCAGGCAGTCGTAATGGGGAACTGGGTTAACTTGGAGACCAGCTCCACTATGGCCAGAAATCTGTTTCTGGGGAGGAATGCTCTCGCCACCCTGGCGTCCAAGAGAGCCCCCACGAATTCGAGGCACTGAGAGGGAGTCAACAGTGACTTTTCCTCGTTGAGCATGAGGTCCAGTCTTATGAAGAGAGTTCTTGTAAGGGAAACATGAGCCTCCACTTGTTGGTAGGATCGACCACGAATCAGCCAGTCATCTAGGTACAGAAAAACGTATACCCCTTTTTTGCGGAGGAACGCCGCTACGACTGCCATGCATTTTGTAAAGACCCTGGGTGCTGTTGAAAGGCCAAATGGGAGCACTGTAAATTGGAAGTGACATCAGGAAACAATAAAATGGAGAAACCTCCTGTGGCTGGGTCTTATTGCCACATGTAAGTAAGCATCCTTGAGATCGAGAGTTGCATAACAGTCTCCTAACTGTAAAACCGGTACGACAGAAGCCAGGGTTACCATTCTGAACTTGGATTTCATGACCGCCCTCGTCCCTGAGAGCTAAGATGGGATGAACCCCGCCCTGGGGTTTTGGGACAATAAAATATCGGGAATAAAACCCCTTGCCCTCCAGAAGTGAAGGGAACCTCTCCACAGCTCCCTTTTCAAGGAGCGCCAGCACCTCCTAGCGGAGTGAGCCTTCGTGAGAGGTGTCCCAGAAAAGGGACAGTGCGAGCCCAGGAAGGGGATGGTATAGCCACTCCTGACTATCTTTAGGACCAAGGCGTCGGTCGTGATTCCTGCCCAGGCATGGACAAACCAGGATAACCTGGCCCCAAACGGGGGGTCAGGGTGGGAGGCTGATGTGCGACTCTCCAGCAGCCTGTCAAAACTGGTGCTTGGGTTGCTGGGAGGGACCTTCACCAACCCCACGGGGGTTGTCCCCTCTCAGGTGGCGTCGACAACCTCTTGCGGAGGATGGACACACAGCCACCCTAGCACCCCCACTGGGAGCACGAGGACAGCGTCTCCAGTAATCCCCACGGGGAACCTGGGACTGCATTCTCCCCTGCTGTCTGTAGGGCAGCTGACAACGCTGAGGGGCTGGCGTGTGAATCCCCAAGGACCGAAGGGTAGACCTCGTGTCTTTAAGCGTATGGAGCCTGGAGTCAGTGTGCTCCCAAAACAAGGCTTTCCCGTCAAAAGGCAGGTCCTGGATCGTGGTTTGGACATCCGGAGGTATTCCAGACACCTGCAGCCAGGCACCACAGCACAACGCCTGACGCCGTGGTCCAGGCTGCAGAGTCGACAGCGTCCAGGGAAGCCTGGAGGGCCGTGTGGGCAATGGTTCTGCCCTCAGAGGTCATGGCTGCAAACTCCTGACGGGCCTCAGCAGGCACCTTGTCCTTAAACTTATCCCCGGCCTGCCAGGTATTAAAAGCATAACGACTCAGCATCACTTGCTGGTTAGCTATGCGGAGTTGCACCCCACCAATGGCAGGTCAAGTTGCTTGGGCTCTCTAGCTTTTGGGGACGGCTCCGGCTAGGGAAGCCTCTCCTTTTGGGCCGCAGCCTGAACGACCAAGGACACCAGAACACGTTGGGAGTTCAGGTTTTTGTGCCCCGACTGGGGAATGTAATAGTGCCTCTCGACTCCCCTTAAGGTAGGGGTCAGAGTCGTCGGAGTCTGCCACAGGGCATTGGTAATTTTGGCCATGATTTCATTAAGTGGCAAAGCCAAGCGGGCGGGCACAACGTCCGAGAGGATGTCAATCATGGGGTCCGTGTTTTCCACTACTGGCTCTA